TTTTTTTTTTTTCAAGTTCAGAGAGAAAGACCATGGATGATAGTTGTGTTGTTTGTGCTGACACACTCAAGTGGGTTGCCTATGGCCCCTGTGGCCATCGGGAGGTCTGCTCCACATGTGTCATTCGACTCCGATTTATTTGTGAAGATCGCCGATGCTGCCTCTGCAAGTGTGAATCAGATATCATATTTGTTACTAGAGTTAGTGATGTCTTCAGTGTTTTAGAGTTAGTGTTTCTTCATACTTGGCTTCTTATTATCTTGGGCTTAAATTACCTTGGTCTGATTGTTTTCTAGGCACTTGGAGATTATACAAAGGTAATAAATGACTTTGCAGATTTTCCAGCTGATCCACCAGATGGCCAAGTTGGACATTATTGGTATCATGAAGGGACGCAGGCATTCTTTGATGATTTGGATCACTACAATATGGTGAAAGCCATGTGCAAGCTATCTTGCGTTGTTTGTCAAAAAGATGAACTAAGAGATGCTGGGTCAAAGAGACGAGGGGAGTTTAAGAACATTGAGCAGCTTAAAAGTCATTTGATCAAGTCGCATAGGCTGCTTATGTGCAGTCTGTGTTTGGAAGGCAGGAAGGTATGCTGACCGTTATGTGGGATATTGTCCAATCAACAATGGTTTTGAAAGAGATTGTTTCTCATGGCAAGTTTGCAACAAAATTGTATGGTCTAATTTTTTCCTGATGGACATATTTTCTTTTTGCTCCTTCGTTAGGTAGTCCTGTCTGATATCATCATCATGATAAAATTTTTCCCATCATTCGGATGGCATGAATGTCAATACTTACACAATAGTGCCTTTTGTTTGACTTTATCCTGAATTTTTGGATCAGGTGTTTATATGCGAGCAAAAGTTATATAACAAAGCACAGCTGAATCAGCATATAAGGACGGGTGATTCTAAAGTTGATGGCAATGAGAGTGAGAGAGGTGGCTTTAGCGGACATCCTATGTGTGAATTCTGTCAAAACCCATTTTATGGTGATAATGAACTGTATTTACATATGTCAACTGAGCATTATACTTGCCATATATGTCAAAGGTAATTCATACTTTTTCTTGATAAAACTAATGCAGTTTAGAGACCTTCAACTTTAGGCATACTGACACTACTGCACATCTGATCATTTGGCTTGAGACAGGCAGCATCCTGGACAGTATGACTACTTCAGAAATTATGATGACATGGAGGTCTGACATGTTTTGTTTTCTCACATCTTAACAGCCTGGCTCCTCTGTTATGCTTCCTTCGTTAATTTTTGAATCTGAATTAACAGTTGTTAATTGGGCTGCAGATTCATTTTCGTCAAGAGCATTTCTTATGTGAGGAAGAGGATTGTCTCACCAAAAAATTTGTTGTTTTTTCAACTAACTCTGAATTAAAGGTGATCTCTTAGCACATTTATGTATAATTCTCCTGTGTTTTACATATCTTTCATATAAGTCTGGTTCATTTCCGAGAGCTCATCAGCACTTCTCTTTTTTTTCATCATATCCATAGAGGCATACAGCCATGGAACATGGAGGACGCCTTTCTCGTTCTAAGCGTAATGCGACACTGCAGGTATTTTTGGCTCTTTTGATTTCTTTTTAGTGTTGATGGAGTTCTGTTAACCCTTAGACGTATCATTCTATGTTTTTTCTTTCTTTTTTTCTTTATTTTGGTTTCTATCTCATTTAAGACAATTAGTTGCCATGTTTTACTGCCTCACACATGTTAATCTTTCCATTCTTTATCGCATTGAGATAATAAATGCTGCTTCTCTTGGCAATCTGTCTAGATACCAGTAAGCTTCCAGTATCCAAGGAGTTATGAGCAAAATCGTCAAGGTGGCGGACGTCATTCTCTTCTTGAATCATCAGACAGTCAATTTTCCTCTGTAACCCAAACTAGTCTAGCAACAAACCATGCAGAAAGATTGCATGATACTTCAACAAGTGCCCAAATAATTGCCAGTCACTCAGGAACTCACGAAGTTAGTTCAATTGTTGGTCCTTTTCAGTCATTAGCAACCATAGATTCTGAGCCTTCAGGTCATCGTAAGGCATCACGAAAGTCTAGGTATGGGCAACTTGAGGAATCATCTTTCCCTCCTCTTCCTGTAGCATCAAGCAGCAGTCAACAGAAATCCAGAAGCAATTCAGGAGAACTGGCTGGTAGCACCCTGGCTGCTCGCTTACATCATGGAAACAATGGAACTATAAATGTTCTCAATACTTCTCAGGCCTGGCCTGCTGTCAGTCATCAGCCTACTGTTTCGGCTAGTGGTTGTTACCAGTCGAGGACCATGCCAAATTTAACATCATCGTTGTCATCATCTAGTTCTTCCCTTAGGAAGCCTGCTAGAGTTGATGAACATCTGCTATCTAGTTCTGCTAGCTCTTCTCAGGGAACTGCATGCAGTGTTGCACCTGCTAATTTTCCTAGCTCATCAAGGAATACGAGTAGCACCAGTAAGGTCAGTCATTCTGCTTCTGCTTCAAACCTTGTAGGTAGAGGGTTATTTAATTACTCTCTTTCTTCAGCTTCCATGGCCCAAATTAGTTGTAAAGCACCTACAAGTAGCCGCCCTTTGCTGAAAGTGGAAGATGTACAATCAGCTAACAAGGCTCTAGTGGAAAAGGTCCGTGCAGCTTTGGAATTTGATGAGGATAGATACTCTGTTTTCAAAGCAGTATCTTCCAAGTACCGCCAGGGTTTAGTTAACACTGAGGAATATCTTGCCAATGTTTATCAGTTTGGTTTGGCCCATCTTGTACTTGAGCTAGCTGGACTTTGTCCTGATGCTCAGAAACAAAGAGAGCTTGTGGAGAGCTACAATCTTAATCTGAGGAGCACTGCTTCTAATCAAAATGGTTTGAGCAATGACACTGGTCAGTCAAGACACAAAAAAGGTTCCAGAAAAGGTAAGGAGAAGTGTGAAGACAATGACAAGGTTTCAACCAATGGCCTTACTGGTTGGGTGAAAGCTTTCCAATCAAATACAAGGCCTTCTGCAGAAGAAGCAGGGGTTCTATTCAAGGATGTGTGGGATTCTAAAAAGGGCAAATCAAAGGTTTATGGTGATGAACAGATGAATTTAAGTTCTGCTGATCAGTCCCAAACAGAACCAAGAACTGGAAATGGACCACAGTCAGAAGGTGGTGCGTGCTCAAGCAATAATCTGTCTAACGGGAAAGGAGGGAACAAGCCACGGAAAAAGGTCTCCAAGTTCCTGAGAAACCGACTTGGTGATGCTTCAGCAGGGGTAGTCTCCAATCCTGGTATTTCTTCTTCTGATCCTGGTCCTGATCACTTTGAAGAAAAAGCAGATGAAAGTGAGGAACCACCTGAAGGACTGCCAGTTCGTGGTGTATGGCGAAATGGGGGAGGTCGGAGACTTTTGGCCATGACCAAGAGAGAAACTAAAAAGTGACAGTGCCGTCTTCATGTGGATTAAAATTATCTTTGCCGTGTGTTGTAGTAGGGTAGTTTGTGGTGATGATAGCCAGGTAGATATAAATGTGTCTCCTTTTCTTTTTTGGCTCATGTCATGAATGTAACAAACTAGTACTATACAGGTTAGTTTGGGATACCATGAATTCTCCTTACTGGTTACCCATGGAAGTAAACAAAAACTTTCTTTCTCTATGTTTAGAATATCAACTTATCTTCAATAACTACCCTGCCTTTTTAATTTTTTATTTTGATGATGATTTTTTCCCTTTTTTTTTTAGAATTGTACAAAAGAAAGTTAAATTCTTCTCATTCTATAATCCATACAACCTGAATATTAGGTTATTATTATTTTTTTATTAATTTGATAATCATGTTGAGTGTTGGTTAATTTAAAATTAAGTTGTGTGAAATCTCAATAAAATTTTTTAATATTTATTTTTTCATTCATAAAATTCAAATTTAAAATTTTATTTAAAAAATTGAATTCTTTTCGTTCAAATCCTTTTCCGTTCAAATCCTTTTCATTCAAATCGACAGATTCTTTATCAAAGAGATTTATTGATCGACTCGTTTCAGCACAAGTATAATTATAGCCTTTCCGTTTTCCATACGCAAAATCTCTTAAACCCTAAGTTAAACCGCAGAAAACAAACCTCCCGGAAGCCGCTATGCCGACGCCGGCCGAAGCCGGCAACAGGAAAACTCCGACCGGGCAATGCAGCAATTGTTGCGTCTCCACCCTCCACTTCCTCCATCACGTGTGCCACCGTGGCATCCAGAGGCTGCTCTGCACCTCCTGCGTGCTTCGCTTCCATCCGACCTCCTTCTGCCCCAGTTGCTTCACCTTCTACGACGGCGTCCTACCCCACCCCTCCAAGCGCATCTCCTGTTCTAAGTGCGCCTCCTTTACCCACACCCACTGTGCCGCCACCTCGCCGCTCCCTCCATACATTTGTCCTCCTTGCAAGAACTCCTCTTTCTCCTTCTTCCACCAATCCGACAGGATCGACAAGAGGCAAGCCATTGTGTTGCTCTGTGCTTCGAGGATTGCCATCTCCTCAATGAATAAATCGACTGCGTCTGCCAGGAAGGAGGCTGAGAGGAAGGTGAGAGAGGCAGCAGTTGCCCGGATGCGAGCGAGAGAGGCGCTGGAGCATCTTGTATGGGTTTCCAATGAAGAGAAGGTCAGGAGGCAGAATGAGAGATCGATGGAGATTAACAAAAACAATGGAAATGTGGAGGTTGTCAGCAAGGTTGAAGAGATGGAAGATGACAATGGAGATTTCGATAGTCTTTTGAGGCATTTGGAGAATAGTTTGATCAAGGAACAGGTCTGAATTGGATTCTTCATTTCAGTTTTCTTTCATTTTCTTGTTACCCAAACAATTGTTTGCATTGCCATATTCTTTTGTTTCTTCTTTCCATGATTGTTCAAGGAAAGAAAAAACATCAAATCCTCTTGAATTTTTAGGAAGGGGACAGATTTGTTCTTGATTTGTGGGCATATAGTCTTCATAATGAAAGCAATTTAATCTTCATTCTTTTCCTTTTTTCAGATGTAAATGTATGAGAAATGTTTACTTTCAACTGAATTTATCATCCTTCCTTCCACTGAAGGGAAATATAAAAGTAGAATATATTTATTACACAGCAATCAGCTTACACAAAACATACATAGCCATGTAGAAGTAGTCATCTTGGAGATGAAAAACTAACTTCCATGATGATTGTACTCGCCATTTAATTACTTTGCATAGGTTATATACACTAAGAAGAAGATGATCCTATGTACAAACCAAAATATATTCACATTCATCCTCAGCAGTGTAATTTCCTTGAAATTTGTTGACTCAAAGGCATGCTGTAAACTTACTCTAGTTGAACAATTCCTAACAAAATCCAGAAGATGAAAGAGATAACTGTAGCAGGCTTGAACCAATGTGCTAACTAGATGATAGGGAAAGGCAGATTCATGATATGCTCAAAGCAAGCTGTATAACTCTGTCACCTCAACAGTATTTACCTAAATGTATCTGCCTTGTGTCTGTTCAAGGGCTTCTTTCATCTTTGCTCTCGAATCCCAGATAAAATCAACAAAACCAGTCGGTGATATAGGAAAAATTACTATACCATCATAAATCTTCTTGCCTCCTCTTACCGTTGATCTAAACTTTGTGATCGCAAATCTCTATCTTCAATTCTCTGCATCATTGCAATTGATGTCAGTTTTCTCCACACTCTGGGGCTCAGCTACAGCAGCAGCAGCAGATTTGTTCTTTCTCCAGCTCCTCTCAGTTGAGGCTCCACCGTTTCTAGGCCAAAAACTGCTCCTCCTCTCCCCTCTCTTTCCATTCTCAACACCTGAATCCACCTCCTTAATCTTCCCAACCTTGCGCTTCTCTTTAATCTCCTTCCGATCTTTCCCTTTTTTTGCCAACACCTCCTCCCTTGGCCTTGCTTCACCAAACAGATTGGACCCCCGAGGCTTAGTTACCCGTGACTCCCTTTTTCCATCCTCATTCAAAGGCACCATCAATGGCTGCAGAACAAGCCTTGGATTCACACCAACACTGCCACTTTCCTCTTTTTTCTTAGCCCAATTTTCTGAATCTCTTGAAGAGTCCCCCAACTGCAAGGGATCAAAACTACTTCTCCTTTCAAAATCGCCACCAAACGTCCTAGGCACCTCAGCATAGTTGTTATTAGTCTTGTTTGACACCCAACTGTCAGCTTCATCTGCTTCCCATTTCAAATAAGAAAACCCTCCTCCTTCTTCCCTTTCTCTCCTGTCGAAGCCACTCCCAAAACCATTTCCATTCCCAGTTGATCTCTTTGCTGCAGAAAGGTTGTTAACCTCATCAGAGCATGACTGTGGCAGTTCTCTATTTAACTCCTCCTCACTATGGGGTTCAACAGCAGCAGCAGCCGCATCATCAACAGATTCGTTCTTTCTCCAGCTGCTCTTTGTCGAGGCTTGCTCATTTCCAAGCCAAAAACTACTCCTACCTCTCTCCCCTTTGTCAGCACCTGAAACCACCTCCTTAATTTTCATAGCCTCTAGCTTCTCTTCTATTTCCTTCCAATCTTTCCCTTTCTCTGCCAACACCTCCTCTCTTGGCCTTGCTTCCCCAAATGGATTGGACCCCTTAGGCTTAACTACAGGTGACTCCCCCTTTCCATCCTCACTATGGGGTTCAATTGCAGCAGTAGCAGCATCAACAGATTCATTCTTTCTCCAGCTCCTCTCTGTCGAGGCTTGCTCATTTCCAAGCCAAAAACTGCTCCTACCTCTCTCTCCTTTGTCAGCAACTAAAACCACCTCCTTAATCTTCATAGCCTCTAGCTTCTCTTCTATTTCCTTCCAATCTTTCCCTTTCTCTGCCAACACCTCCTCTCTTGGCCTTGCTTC